AAAAGACCCCCCCCCATCACCCTTCAACTCAACCCTGTGCCTCAGTGATGTTCCTGTGGCATGTCCAAATTTTCACCGCATCAGTAGGTGGAAGGCTCTGAAGTGAAAATGCCACAGCTGTTGTGGCTGCATGAGCCTTCTGAACCTGAGGCCCACCCCCCCCCCCGAGCCATACCAAAAAGAGACCTGGGCTGTTGCTTTCTTGGGTTTTTCTCGTTTCTGTTTTCCACTATTTTAATACAACCTCCATCCCATAAAATTGTGCTGTGAACTGGAAGATGGTCGAGTTTTCACAATTTGATGAGACTTTCTGGCAGCCAGCTCTATTTACTGTTTCACTCCTGGCTCTGTTCAGGGAGCTGGGAGTCGCCATTCCGGCCGGCCAGCGAGGCTGCCCAGGAGCAAGACCGGCCATTACGGGCCCGCTTTTCCCTCCTGTGTCCATGTGCTGCTTTGAGGTGACAAAAACAAATGTGGGCTTAAGGAGGGACTTTGTTCGAAAGGAAGACTGCAGGACCAGGGGAGGGGGTGCTGCCCGGGGAGAATGCTCAGGCGTGCCGAGCTGCTGCAAGGTCTGTAAGCACCTCACAGCTCAGAAGGAAGGCCTTTGGTAGGAGGGGCAGAGCACGGCTGGAGAGAACTGCGTTCCGGGACCGCCTCTGTGCTCAGCCCTTCAGGGGCGCGGCTGTGTGAGGGCTCTAGCCGAAGGCTGACCCATGTTCAGAGTCTGGGTGGGAGGAGAGGCGCCGAACTGAGGCCTGATGGAGGGAGTTAACCAGCTCTTTGTTCAGATGGAGACTGCGTTAATCTTGGTAAAGTCTAACGGCCTTCTCTCAGTTTTTCAACCCTATGTGTTTTTCTTAAGAGCCCAGGTGGCCTCTCTGAAATGTGGACCTCATGGGAGGTCACATCCTGTCCCTGTGAGGGTTTTAGCCCAGGACCGGGCTCCAGGGCCAATTACCTGCCAACCATAGGTGCTTTTGAGCCTTGTTTACTTCTCCCTAAAAAAGAAACGCTCCTTCTGCCCAGCTCGGAGAGGCTCGCAGATCTCACGGTGTCTCCCTGCAGGCCTCAGGTGACGTAGTAGCCTCTTCGCCTACTGCCAGGGCCCCTTGCCACCTCTTGCAGGAATCCTTTTGAATAAAGCCTCCCCTTACCTATGTCAGAATTTGTTCTTATTTGGCAGAGGGCATGAAGACCTGAATGTTTCGAATCGGGGATCAGTTCAAGTCAGTGCTTACGTTAAAATGTGTCTATAACAGCTCTACTGGACACCCAAGAAAGGCAAGGGTATGCCAGCGGGGAAGGTGCCCCACCCCCGGGGAACCTGGCAGAGGAGAGGGTCTCCAGAATCCAAGCCAAGCGCCCCCAAAGTCACCCTCCCGCACCCCCTCTCTCACCGTCCCGTGTGTACGTGTGTGTCTGGGACCCAGGGCAATGTGAATTTTCTTTTTATTTGGGAGATTGTTCACGGAAAACAGACCCTCTTTTCTCTCGTCCACCTATCAATTGTTTACAATGTTTGTATATCTATGCAAAATACTTGAATGGGCCATGGTGCCTTTTTCCCTTGTTTGTATTTAATGAAAATAAATTGTCATTTGAAATGTCTGGTTCGGTAACTCTTTTTTCCTTTTTTTCAATATTGCGCTGGTCAGCCTGGATAGGATCCGTCAGTGAGGACTCCCGAGATGAGTTCCCACAACGACCGTCAGGCCAGCCTGTCAGGCCACCATGGAAGAGCTGGAGCCAAAGGACAGCCCCGGGGTTTCCCATGACCAGTTGAGGGCGTTGTCTGTCTTTGCACCTGGACACAGGTTGGTCTAGTGTAACTAGGTCTAGGGGTCACTTAAGGCATGAATGATACATATCTGCCTTGAGGACTTGTGAGCGCTTTAAGGAGTCACATGACGCTCTTAGCACTGTGCCTGGCTTCTTGTGAAGGCTCAGGCATGAACAAGGGCTGGGTGTCTTTGACTCTATTCCCAGAACAGCCTTCCTGTCTCTAGCGGGGGCATGGCTGTGGAAGGCACTAGAGGGACTCCCTCGGCAGCCACAGGTCTCCAGAGATCGTGGACTGCCCCCCACCGAGGAACCAGTTTACTTGTTCTGTGTCCAAGGAAGGTCAAGTCGCAAGTATCAGGGAAACACGCTTGGAGGTCTTTATTCCTGACCCTGCAGACCACACTGAGGGCCCTTCTCAAGATCCAATGTGTTGCACTGACTTTGGTTACAGAGAGAAATCCACATTCATTGAAAACCGGGGCTTTGAGGCTGGAGGTGCAGGAAGCTGGTCTGTTGGCGAGCTGGACCAGCTCGCTGGAGCGCCAAGGCGAACAAGAGTTTGGCCCAGGCTTGGCTAAGCTTCGGGTATGGAGTGTAAACCCAGGGCGAAGGTGTGGAGTCACACACGGGAGGCTCTGCACCAACTCGGGGGCGGAGGGTCGGGTCGTCTGTATAGATAGATTGGTGCCCTTACGTCCCTGTCATTGGTCCTTGCGCCAACTCACATCTTCACCGCTGGAAAGAGGACAGGAAGGGACGGGGTACTGATTCTCTCTGCAGCTGCTCTTGTTTTTTGACTGTTCCTGGCCAAAGGTGAGGGGACTAAATGCAGTGCCCAAAGCAGGTGGTGTTGGAGCAGTCGCGACACACGGCTTCCCAGTGTGGGCAGCTCATCAGTGGAGTCGGGGACTTGGTTGCAATCTGGTCAACAGCCAGAACGCAGCCCGTGTCCAGCTTACACCCCTACCTGGTCACCGATGTTCAAAGCTGATCCTCCTGGCCGAGGCTTTGAGGCTGCAGCCCAGGGGTTACCCAGAGCTCTTTTCGCCTGGGTTCCCGGTTGGGCACCAGAGAAACACAAAAGTTAGCCCCTGGTTTCCAGAGAGCCTGCAGCTGCTTTCTGCCCAATCCTGACTTTGCTCCTCCCTCTTCTCCCCATCTCCCCAAATCATGTTTTGGTTTACTCCTCGAGGAAAAGGAAAGTGCACTGTGCTCCACAGCCAGGCTACTTTGAAGAGCGATGCAATCCTGTTCTTGTTTGAGAGTGAGGCGAAACGAAATCCTGGGCGTGGCCCGCAGAGCTGGGCTGTGAAGCACCTGATGTGGTTATTGTTGTTCTGAGTTCTAAGATAACTGCCTGGATATCTCAGTGATGGACCCCTTAGGATGTATGTAGAGAGGGGAGGAGC